TTCCTTTCTTTCCTTTCTTTCCTTTCTTTCTTTCTTTTTCCTTCCTTCCTTTCCTTGGGGAATAACATTGTTTAATAGAAAGACACAACTGGATTTAGTATTTCCATAATAATCTGTGGGCAGTAATATTTTCGAAGAGATTTTAGTTATTGATAAACTTAGTTATGGAGACCTGAGAATAAAGATACTACATGCATACCTCACCCACACATTGCAATCCAGGTATCTGTGGTACAGATTTCTGCTCTTCAGTTTCTTGGTGTTCAAACATGATTAATGCCAATAAAACAAATTAATTAAAGGCTTCCTACACTATGTGAAAAGGGTGAGTTGGCAGAAAAAGATGGAAGTTCCTGTTTTCCATAGTTGCTCTCAGAGTTCCTAACAAACACAATTTCAGTCCTGTTAGTGTAGGGAGTAGAGGGTTGCCATGTTTGTGCTACTTATTTCACATTTTCTCCATAATGTTTCATCAAGGGTAAAGCACAAAAAGGAAAAGTTAATGATCAATTCCCTGAAATATGAAAATTAGCTCCCTGCTGAAGAAGGACTTGCTTTACAGTTCATTGACTACATTCTGTCAAGCAGTACTTGCTTTTACAAATGCAAAGACACTGCAAACACCAGATTCTTGTATATGTTTAACACTCCAGCTCATTAGGGAAATGGCACCAAATTCCCTGGTGTTTGGCTGATTCTTCTCCCATGACAGATCCTTTGCTCTGACTGAACACCAAGCAGCACAGAAAGGCTTTGCTGTGAACTATATCCAGACTGTTCTGCATTATTTCACCAATGTGTATTCAGTCAGATCACATTTCCACATGAGAAAACAAAGCATTTGCTTCAGCACACTAACAGCCTCCTGCATTAACCTTCCTTTTTGATTTTACTCACAGACACTGCAGATGGGGATAAAACATTTCTCAGGGCTCTTCGTGATGTTGTGCGTTGGCTTTGGCTTGTCCATTCTCACCACCATTGGCGAACACATCGTGTACAGACTGCTCCTGCCACGAATCAAGAAGAAATCCAAGATGAAGTACTGGCTCCATACCAGTCAGGTATGTGTACTGAAGGAACCCTGTGAAAGTTGTGTGGCTGACTAAGAAAGCCTGGGCAAGAACAAGGTAGAAAATGTTGTAAGAGCACTGACAGTTGGCATTTGAAACGTGACATTCTGGAGCTTGAAGAGGCTGACCTAAGGATGGAATGAGAAGCACAGAGCAAACTATTTAAATATTCCATTACAAAGCTCACAGATGGACCTTTCCATTTGCATTTGTAGCCTCACAGCTCAGCTCTTTTGGATGGCAGAAGCAACAGTGTTGTTATCGTGAACTGGCAAACCAGAATATTTTATCTCACTATTATAGGTTCCCAAACCTCCGAGGCATGCAGGAAATGCTGTGTGACCTCCCTCATTATTCCAGAGAAATTAATGGGACAGAATTGCTCTGGGTGTTTGCTCTAACTTCTTCTAAGGAAGAATTTACTTTACAGCAAAAGACACAAAAGAGAATAACTTCCATTGCTTTAAAGCAGCACAGTGGAAGAAATCTTTTAAAACTAATTTAACACAAAGGATTGTTCCCAAACTATTCATCAGCCTTTCAGCTTGCCCTTCTTTGGGAAAGTACGGGAAAATAAATCTGTTGTAATGACAAAGCACAGACAATTGCTTGTATCCTTCAATGTGCAAAATAATTTATGCTCAAGTCCATCAGACAAAACCCAAATTGTTTACCTATTTGTGGAGCCATTTTTAATCTTGCTTCTACTAATTTATGTTCCTCTTTTCCCTCTAGAGATTACATCGTGCTCTGAACAGTTCATTTATTGAAGAAAAACGTCAGCCTAAGAAAAAACGAGTAGAAAAGAGGTAGGAAGTTCTCCATGCCTCAAAACACAAAATATAAAAATTACTTTAAAATTAAATACCTTATGTCTGGATATGTAGTTATGGATCTAATACTCCCTAAAGGTAATAGAATTAAAAAAAAAAAAAAAAGGAAACAAGGTAGAAGTGACAAATTAGGGAGGCAGGAATTAATTATTTTTTTTAGTATTAAATCTAGAAATCTTGTTCTTTCATGATTTTACATACAGCTAATTAAAAAACCTCCCATTGCAAAGACAGGCTTTGCAGTTGAAGTCCACTGCCCATGTGTTTAGGGAATGAATGACTGCCATGCTAAAGCACAGCAAGTAACCAGGGCTCAGCCTCCTTTCACTGCCTGAAACTCCTTCAGCTCTCTTCTTTTGTCAAATGACAAATAAGAAAGCTGAGGAGAGTCAAATGCAGTCCTTTCAGAAAATATTGTGTCCAACAAGTCTTGCTGGAGAAGAAAGGAGGCAACAACCTTGCCTTGTTTTCATAGCCTGTGTGCTCTGCAGAGGGGACAATGGGATGTACAGCTTCCAGGAACACAAGGCATTGCATGGAACTGTGCACGTTCTCAGCAACTCAACCCCACTGCTGCACTTTGTAAGGACACAGACAGCAACACTGCTTGTCTACAGAGAACTTCAGGCACAGAGTACAGGATAGAAAAAGTCTTCCAGAATGTTGCTGCACGTTTGGCCTGACTGAAACCTATAGATGTCAATGTATGTTGTGTTTCTTTGATACTCCTCTGCAAAAGGCAGCAAATATAAACAAGTGAGCATCTCTAAGCTCCTAGGCTACCTTTATACACACAAGTGTCTAAAAATGCCTGCAGTTGATCTCCTCTGTTCATTCCTTTATCTTATCAAAGAACACCATGAATGGCACTTCCTTGCACACAGCCACTCCTGGCTTTTAATCCATAAGCAGAAGGAGTGGCGATGAGTGCTGCAAAATCTTTCCTCCTGCTGCACTCTCCTTGCTGGGTGGAACAGGAGGAGATGGTCCATAAGCCCCCAGGCAGTGTCTTAGAAAAAGATCCATGCAAATAATCTTCCAGCCTGGGAGAGTGAAGATGTACTGCTGTCCTAAACCACCTGCCCACACAGCAGTCAACCCCCGGTGTGTGCATGCACACTCACCCTCTGTCCTTGCTCTTCAGAGCATCTCAGGGCTGCTGTTTGCACAGAATTAGGATGAATTTAACTCAGCAGGCCCATGAGTGGGGTGTCCAATCTGTCATGAACATTCACATGGCAAGGCAGAGCTCTCAAATCACTTACATTATCACATGTGCCTTCATTCCTGCTGGGGACTGAGGAACTCTGAAAAGCACCAAAGACACAGAAAAGAGCTGCAAAGAATTGGCATCGAGCTACTGGTTGGTTTTCCTCAAGGAGGAAAACCTGTTGGGTTTTTTAAGGTTGTAACTTTCCAAAAATTAGGAAAGCTGCTCAGCATCAGTAGCCCAGCTGTGAATGGTTTTCTTGACTTGGTGAAATTGGAGTGCTAACTGTGGACTCTGGCATTTGTTAAAATCAACTGCCCAGACTTGAGAGTCTTCCCATCTTTTATTTTGAAATATGAGAAAATAGCTAATCTGCACAAAAATAAACAATTCTACATATACATCCCTGCTGGGATTCCCTGAGCTCTCTGGAGGGGCATAATCCAGGCAGGAGCTTCCCTCCTGCCTGAAACATCTCCTCCTACCTCTCTTCCAGCACATCTCTTGGAGAACACCCCTGATCACCTCCTCCTTGAACAAAATTTCCACTTTCCAAGTTCCTTTAGTGCGGGCACATGAGAAAAGTATCCAGTCCAGAAGCCAACTGCTTTCAGCAGTCACAACCCTGAATTATCAACCTCCTTCCTTAACCTGTCCACTGGCAGCCCACAGCAAGAGGCCTTTTGTCCAAGGATACCCACAGAGGAGCTTGAGGAGGGAGCAGAAACAAAACTCCTGCAGAGTTGAAACCTCCCTTTGTCATATGAGCACACACCAACCTGTCCAAAGGGAAAGCAGGCAGGAAAGAGAAGCTCCTCTCCCACAACAGCAAGCTCTGTGCTTCCTTCAGTTCCAGCTGGAGAGCAGAGGCCATGGGCGACTCCTCCGTTTAGGAAGGAACCCTGGGAATTGGCCTGATCTGGGAGGGCAGCAGAGAGAAGTTCCCCAAAGAGAAAGAAAAGATTCTCTGGAATCAAAATATTACAGAAATATTTCTGCAGGGAAAAAAAAAAAATGGAGCATTTGAAAAAGTTCCCACAGTAATTTGTGCCCCAGCACAAAAGCCCTGAAGTCTCCTTGTCCATCACAAAGCTCAGGAATGAACCTGCAAGCCTTGGATACTCATCATTGGTGTCCATCCCCCAAAGCACAACTCCCCAACAAGACTAAAGGACAAACCATCCCCATTCACCTCTCCACACCAGCTCTAGGTAGTCTCTTTCCTTCTCTGTGAGAGTGAATGCCCAAGCCAGGACAGAGTAGTAACACACGAAGGACTACTGTTGTAATAAACTTGCACACTGTAACCACAAAAGCTTTCAGAAGGCTTTGAAGGACTTGGATTTTTGCTGAGCTGCAGCTGAGTAATTTCATACCTAAAAAAGAAAACGAACAAAGTTTTGTGCAAGATGACATTCAGGGTTCTATTCTAGCCTCTACTATGGTTAAATCACAAAAATTTAGTCATTACATTCATGATTTGTGCTCTGCAAGAAAACATAATTGCAGGGATAAAGGAATAATATTTCTGTGTAATATATAACAGCAGCCTTATATTTTTCCAGTAGGATGGCTCACAGGGGAGGTCTGCACACACACAGGAGCAGGCTTTGATGTGGTATTTACTCTCCTCTCTCTGTTCAGGGCCCACGTGGGGAACAGCCAGCACGCAGTGTGGAACACAGCTAACCCGGGCAACTGCCACCGAAAAAAATACATCTGCACCGATGAGGGGCAAAATGAGGTGACAATCCATCAGCTCCAGGACATCTCCCTGCCACAGGGCAGGAGAGAGACTCCGCCTTCCTTAACCACCAACGGGAAAGCAGAGTCCCTCAACACTGCGAGGACCTCAGTGCTGCAAGAGCTGACAGAACTGGAGAAGCAGATTGAAATCATCAAGCAGGAGCTGCAACTCGCCATGGACAGGAAATCAGAGCTGGAAGAGTATGCAAGGACAAACAAAACTGCAGAGTCTTAGGCCAGCATACCTGGGCCCTTCCCCTTTTCTCCCTTTCTCCCCTTCCTACGTAAAATTTGTAACACGCTTTTGTAATGCCAGAAAGGGGTGCAAAAATAAAGCAGGCAATAAGCTTTTCAGGAGAGCAGAATTGCAGCAGCCCACAGCTACTGCCACTCTCCTGAGTCCTCCTCCTTTCACAACAAGTTTCTTATTCTCCTGGAAAACACCAGCCATTCCCAAGGGACTGGAGAGACAAGGAGCATCTCAATGAGAGTTCCTCATTTCTCCACCTGACAGTACAGTGAGGTTCCACTTTTTTTGCCCTTTCTGTGCATTAATTTAAAAAAAAAAAAAAGTTCCCAAAAAAAAAGGTTTAAACTGTTCATTGGCAGTATGTCCCTTTGTTGGTACATTTTTGTTGTGTTCTGTATGGGTCTAGTCTCTGTTCATGTGAAGGCTCCTCACGGATGCCTCTTTATGGCAGATGCTGTTCTGTGTTGGCAGTCCCTTCCCTCCTGGCACAGGCTCACAAGACAAATTCCTGGTTGCAAACCCACCACACACCATTCCCTCAGCTCTGTCAGCACAAACGGTGGTGTGGCTGCTCTGAGACTGTGGTGAAGGAACTCACACAGCTTAAAATAACTTGGCAAAAACCAAACCACCACTTCTGTCTGCCTATGAGCCTAGGCTGGGCTTCCACTCCCTCCCAGAGAGAAGCCGTGCAAACACTGCACCAGCAGGTGAAGGGATGGATTCCCAGTGGCACAGGGCAAGTATGAGAAGGGAGAGGGGGCACTACTGTAAATCAGTATTTACCTCAAAAAGTGAAATATTTGCCAGTGTGAAACTACTCCCTTAATATTCTCTCTTAAGATGACAATAAAGTCCTTTCTCACAGATGAGGTGACTAAAGGGGCTCTGGACCATGATTTATTTAGATACCAGTCTAAATTCCATCAAAACCAAAAGAGTCACCAAAACCGCCCTGTGGATGAAGAATGAGATTTGTGGTTTCAGAGGCAATGTACTGAATGGAGTTCTGTCCCTCCTGGGTGATGAGGGGAAGGAAGGGCAAGCTGTTCAGCATCTGAATAAACACTGCATCAACTCAACTGACTGTGTTTTTTAAATAGGGTTTCTACCGATTTTTAAAAACCACTTCTCAACACATCCCATATTACAGAGAAAAATAAAGTTTGTAACACTGTCTCTTAACCCTAATCTCCCAGATAAGTCACCAAAGTAATTTTTACCCTCCCTGTATCTCCAGCCACCTGCAGGAATGTTGCCTGGGCTATTCTTGTTAGGTGTAGTTCAAAGTCTTCAGGCAGACAGAGAAAGACATTCTACCTGTTTGCCCCTCTAACCTTTGAAAAACCCTTGCACATGAAAAGCTCTGCATCTGCCCTAAAAGCTGATCACAGTGAGACCCAGACTAATTAGCCTTACCAAGACCTGATTTTCTCTTCCCTACTCAGGGCTTGCTCTCTGCTTTTGTGTGTCTGCTCCTTCTAACTCAGTAACACAGGGAAGAGAAATTAGGACACAAAACAGAGAACCGTGATCCACAGGCCTGCACCTTGGTATGTCGAATATATCTGGGAAGTCCCCACATTCCTGACAAACTTCCCTTCCCATCCCTTCCCTTCCCTTCCCTTCCCTTCCCTTCCCTTCCCTTCCCTTCCCTTCCCTTCCCTTCCCCTCCCTCCCCCCTTTAGATAATTAGCTTTTTAGAAAGAGCTTTTTCTTTGTGTAGCATCTGGTACCTCACAGCCTCCAACATCCCTTGGTTAGAACAGATGAATATTGCTCTTTTCATTAAAACACTAGGAAAGAAGTATTTCAGTCCAATTTTATAAGTTTTTTTATCAAGGCTGTTATGTCCTATCTCTACACCCATGAGCCCAAAAACAGATTTGTTTCAAAAACGTAGTTGAAAATGTTAATTGTAACTTAAACAAAAATGTTTTGCTTCAAAGCTCCAAACACCAAATCCTTCAACAAATCTGACTTCATTTAACAGCAAAAATATAAATGGGAAAAGGTAAACTACCTAATAACTACTGTTAAGCAAGTGTTATATCTAGTGGTTGTCTGAGGAGCTTCTCCTATGTCAAATGCAGAACAGGGATTGCTCTGAACTACTGCAGCACCAACTGTGCCTTTTCAGAAAAGACTCAAGTTCCTGTTGCCCAACAGAGACATACTTTTTGGTGCATTATTTTCTTGTTTAGCCACTGCTCCACCCTGATCTCCTGGGACAGATTGCTGTGGCTTTCTTTGGGAAGGGGAGTACCACAGGCACATCAGTGCCTGCAGACTGTGGCCAAGGGGAGGATCTGCTGTGACAGAAGGTGGAGGGGAGACTGGAGACAAGGCTTTTTCTTTCTTGTCTAAGACACTGAATTTAGAGAACATTTTCATAAAGAATACGTGTCACCCCTTTACTTTTTTTACCCAAATACTTACTAGTCCTAATACTTACTAGTCCTCATTCAGAGGTTTCCTCCAAAATTTGTCCTAAACCAGGACAGCAAGTTACTACTAGTTACTACTGATAAATTTTAATTATTTCCATATATTCTGAAAAATATACCAAACAACAGCTCTATTAAGAATTTGTGCTTAACAAGATTAATCTTTGTGGTAAAGTTGTAGCAAAGGAACTGCTCGAAGTCCTTTTCTGAGAAGGACAATGACAGCAATGCCTCAGCCTAGGGGAAGGTGAGCACATCAACCAGGGCTCATCAGTGGAACGCTCTTTTCTAAGTGTCTCCAAGACCTCTCCTTTCTCCTCTTTTGGATATTTAGATGTATTTGTTTGGGGCTAGGGAGGATGTTTCCTAGTGCACCAGTCTTTGAGGTTTTGGAACCTCCGGGTGCTCTGGGGCACCCACACTGTAGGGTTATTTGTCTTTAAAAAGCCAGGCAGTGAATAGTTACTATAAAGTTATTTATTGCAGAAGCATATCAGTCTCAAAGGCAAAAACAAAGCAAAGCAATGGCAAAAGCACGTGGCATAAAAGCAAGTGGCAAAAGCAATGGCAAAAAGCAGGTGGCAAAATGCAGGTGGCAAAATGCAATGGCATAAAGCCATGGCATAGAGCACCAGCTCTCCCTGATGCATGTTCTTTTATAGAAACTTTCCAACCAGCTAAGACACAAACTCGGACCACTACTCCTTAACCTATTAGAATTCCAGTTTCTTAGCACGCCAGGCTATGTATAGACTACGTTCATGGCCTGTCTTGTTCTAACTGAAAAATGTAAGCAATATTCTTAACTCTAACTCTGTTTTGTCTGAAGCGAGGTTCTTGGAGCCTCTAAGGAAACACAAGCATGTTTCTCAACCTTCACTAGAACATGTACTACTTCTCAGGCACCTAAGACTTTTTACTCACTAAAAGCACTTAAAACTTACTCTATTTACTTACTTACTTACTCACTCCATCTACTTACTCATTCCATCTACTCACTTACTCATTCTATCCAAAGGCTTTCATTCAATCCCTGCACCCTGATTTCTCTCTGAAGAAATCAGACTCCTGACTTACTGACTCCAACATCAGCCCTCAGGGGCTCTTGCCCTAACTCAGGAAGATACACAAGGAGTCTACAGATTCAATTCCTTGGCCTCTATTTGGCCTGCTAATTGGGAAACTCTTCCCTCCCAGGAGCAATGCCATCCCTTGATGGGATTTAATTAGCACCCAAAGCAGAGCCCTCGGATAAAGCTCTCATTGATCTCTGCTGCAGCTCAGCTTCCATCCCAAGGCAGCACTTCAGATGCACGTTCCCACCTTGGCAGAGTGAAAGCGAGGGATGGGAAATTTCCTCTCGGGCACAAAGAGCACACAAAAACTGAGGGCAAGACCAAAGGGACAGGGCCAGGAAAGGAAGCAAGATCCAGAGCGCGTTTCTCTCAAGACCCTGAACGCACCTCCCAGAGAACACTGCAGCTCAGGCGGCAGAAGCTGCCAGAGAGGGAGGGAGGCTGGCTCAGCACAGCAGAGGCTCTGGGAGCGCCTCAGCCGATGTAGATCCTGTGGAAGTCGTTGGCCCCGAAGGCCGCGTTGCACTTGGGGCACTTGCGCTGCCGGGTGTCGTAGCGCGTCTTCACGCACTCGAAGCAGAAGACGTGGAAGCACTTGGTGAGCACCGCGTCCTTCTTGCGCATGTTGCAGCACGGGCACGTCAGGCGGGCCTGCAACACACACACACACAGAGCTGTGAGGGGTCCTGCAGCCCAGCTGCTGTGCTCAGAGGGACTCTGGCAAAACCGCCCCTGCACCCTCTACAGTGACCCTGAACATTTTACTCAAAAACATCAAACCTAACGCAGATGAAGGAAGGGTATCGGAGAACACTATTATCCCAATAACTACAAAAATGTGCTTCCTAAAAGTCAGCACCGCAGCAGAACTAGTCTGAGTCTGAAGGTGGAGAGAAGGGATGGTCATCTGCACAAGCATCCAAAGAGAGACAGTGGCTTGACTGCTGGCAGAATCAGCTGTAACACAGCTATTGCCAGAGCTGGGCAGAAACTGACTTCCAGTTTCCAGCAGCTGAACAGCTGTCAGATACACCAGGCCAAAAATTCTACATATGGACAGCTCAACACAACAACACCCCAGGCTTGGGCTCTGTTCCCACAGGAAAGGGAGAAATAACAATTCTTACTTGAGCTCAGCCTTCAGCTGCTTGATCACTTCAGCTTCCTTTCTTCCATCTTTATGCTTCCGTTTCTCCTTCTCTTTGGACTCTCTCTTCTTCTCAGATTCCTTCTGCTTTTGCTTATTCCACTCTCATTTTATCCTTCTCTGTGCACTCTTGTATTGGGTCTGACTGACGTAAAGTTCACAGCCCTCACAGTGCTGTGCTTTGCATTGGTAGCTGGATGGGTGTTGATAAAAGAGCAGTGTTTTGGCTACTGCTGAGCACTGCTGTCCCTCTGACAGTCCTTCTGCGATCAGAGGGATGAGAATGGGCAAAATCCTAAAAGAGGACACAACTGTGCCAGCTGACCCAAGTTAATCAAGGGGATATCACATGACGTCAGCTCAGATATGTAAAGCTGAGAGAGAGAGGAGCAAGGAGGGGCATTTGTGATTCTTCAGCGTTTGCATCCCGGAGTTAACATTACATGTTCTGAAGCCCTGCTTCCCGGGAAGTGTCTGAACATTGCTCACTGATGGGAAGTAGAGACTGATCTTTGTCCTTCACTTGTGCACGCACAGACTCTCACTGCTTTCTTCCTTTCACTTCATGCCTTAATATATGCCTTAATAATAATGCCTTATCTCACCCTGCTGGTTGTTCTTTATCTTATTGTCATCTCTGTCCCACTAGGAAAGGGAGTGATAGAGCAGCTTAGTTGGGACCTGGCACCCAGCCAAGATCAACCTGCTACAGCTCTCTTTTTCTTTCTCCTTTTCCTTCTCTCGCTCCCTCTCCCTTTCCCGTCTCTCCCGTTCCCGTTCCTCTTCATCTCGCCTGGCCTTCATTTCATTAACATCTTCAGAAGCAGCCTTGGGAACAGACACTTGGGCAGAAGGATCATCAGGCTCCTGCTTGATCTCTGCAGGTTCTTCCTTTGAGTCTTCGGTGCTGGACTGGGACTGGAGGAGGGCACTGCCACTGCGAGAGCGGATCTGGCGTGGAACAGCAAAAGAGATGACCAAGAAAACAAACGTTTCACTTCTGAGACAGGAGTCTTCCTTACCCCCTTCTCCCTTGTCTTCCCAGATCCATGCTCCCATGCCCCCTTTTCACGGAGCACTACGCAGCTACAAAGGAAGAGCATTCATTCGGTCAAAGGAAGCAGCAGAGTTGCAGAGAAAATTGCACTGCATCCTGCACAGCATCTCAGAAAGGTTGATATTGCTGGCAAGGGCGACAGCATTACCCCTCCTCCTAAGCCTTTCCCCTCTTTCCTGGCACTTCCTGCTGTATTACCTTGCTCAGGTCAGACTGGGCCTCTCTCAGTTTGCGCTTGTATCTCAACACCTCTCCCTTCAGCTGGTGGTTGTGATTCTGGAGGCTGCTGATGAGGTGACGCATCTCCCGATTAATTGGGCCTGCAAAACAGAAACACCTCTGTAACAAACCACACTTGTGTCAACCTTCCTGAGGACTTTCATGGAACTAGAGAACAAGCTAAGTGACAATGACAAAGGAAATGAAAAAAAGAGGTATGGAATCTGAATTCTATTTATAAAGGTAGTTACCAAATGATTGTGACTAGCAGCAGTGAAACTGACACATATACACACACACATCCAGCTTAAAAGTAATTAGGAGGAAAAAAAAAATGTTGTATGCTAAAGAGCACTTCTCTCTAAGCAAACTCTTGTAGATAAACAGAATTCAGAGGTTCCTCAAGACAGTTCCCAGCATCAGATCTCTGGATTTATGTTATCAAGACTGACATTTCTTATAACTTGCACTGACCACTAAGATGACAATTTGATTATTCTCCCCACCATATGCTTATCTACCACAGAGTCACAGCTTCTTGTGTTAGCACCTTTAAAACATCACAAATACACAGGCTGTTTCCTATCTATCCATTCCCCATACTGGGAAAGACATTAAATTCATTGACTCTTTCAAGAGCTTCTCTCCCCACACAAGTTCCCTGATTGTTTCTGTTCTCTGGTTCCACATGCACAGGGCGAGGGGAAGGTGGAAGAGGGATCACTTCGTGTAAAGAGGTGAAAACAGTTCTGACCAGACATGGTTAAAATGGACTCAAAGATCAGAAGGGGACACGGGCAGGAAACCATTACAGTTTCCAGCTACGGACACACGGTGTCACCAACGCACTGAACTGCAAGTGGAGCCGCAGAGCGGCTGAATTGTACCTCCAGCACAGTGCACCACAGCTGAAGAGCAGGCTCAGAACAGACACTGCTCATGAGGTTTTCTGTAGACACAGCACTGCAAAGCTGAGGGCAGCCCATCATGCAGAACACCTTCATCCTCACATAGCTACAGATGTCTCACCTTGAGCTTTTCATTCTGTGTTGTTACTTCCTCAAGATCCTGACGTAGTTCCTCCAATTCATTAAGGCGATTCCCAGCAAGCTCTTTATTCTCTTCCAGCTCTGCATTCATCTCCTCAAACT